TCCTAATCTACTTCTGACATGGGTTGGTACGTTGGGTGATGAGGAGAGTGCAGCGCTGTTCCCTGAGGCGGGGAATCCGCTGTTGGGACCGGAGGAGAGTAGCGAGTTGTACATCACTCCTGAAATTCTGTCTGCTTTCAAGAAGGCGATGAGTGAGACTGGGATTACGATGACATTTATCTCGGGGTCTTGGACGCCGGTTGAGAAGCTTCTGGAGATGGTTCCTTCGTCTCCGGATTTGAACACATTCATTTTGGGTTCGGAAACTATCTATTCGCCAGCTTCACTCACGGCGTTTACGGATGCGATTGTCGCGCTGATGGGACGGGTGAAGACGGGCAAGACGATGGTGGCGGCGAAGAGAGTGTACTTTGGTGTTGGAGGTAGTGTGGATGGATTCAGGGAAGCTTGTGCACAGAGAGGATGTGTGGCCTACGAGATGGAGTTTGAAGGCCTAGGTGACGGAAGCGATGGAGGCGTGAGGAGATGTTTGGTTGAGGTGCAGATGTATTGAATTTTGTAAACATGGTGGTTCATTGCGGACATGAGTTATGAATGAGATGGGTATCTAGGGATGTACCAAGTAGAAAATAAAACCAAAAGGAAAGTAAAGACAATCTTGTGAACGCCGTCAAAAAATATCTAAGCACTGATCCAAGTTTCTCCAATCTACCGGTGTCGAGACGGTCTTACTACTTCGCCCTCACGGTGACTGTCGGTCCAGGCAGCTCCCTTCTACCCTCGCCTTCTTCGCCGCCACGCATAAGTCTTTTATACGTGTCCCCCTCAACCCTCATATGCTCTCCACGACTGACCTGCAGCCTATCCACACCCTTCCCGATAGCATCGATATGGTACTCCAAAGGTAGATCACTTCTGTACCCCAACATCTCTGGCGCCGCAACTCCCTCACGCAAGTTCTCTAACTCGGCCTGGATCTCTTGCAGCTTCAGAAGTGTGCCTGACACGTGATTGACCGCTCTCTTGCGATAGGCTCCGATGTTGGCAAGTAAATTGAGGGACTTGGTGTTGGCTTTCACATCGCCGCGATTACCCCCAAGTTTTGTCCAGAGGCTAGAAAGAAGCTCTTCTTGTCTGCCTGTTATCGTCTGGTCATCGCCTGTTGCAATTTCGTAGATGGTGCCTAGTCGCTCATCAAGGTTGTGCAGAACAAGAAGCAGAGCTTGAGCTGTTTCGATAAGACGCGTAATCTCGTCTTTGTTCTTGCTGACGTGTGAGACGTACTGGTCGAAGATGCGTTGTTGGAGCGTTGGCGGTGGCGCGACGAACGCACCCGTGACCTGGTTGATAACTCGGCCAACGGCGCCAATGGAAGCCTCTTTCTCCGAGATACCAGACAACACGTTCATGGTCCAGGTGTTTGTCGCAATTACACGGTCCATAGCTGCCCCTATGCGACTGTTGTAACGAGACAGATCAACGGAAGCCTCGTTGGCTGTTTGTACAAAGTACTCGAATTCATTATCCAGGGCCTTCCGGCTCGGAAGACGAGAGTGCTTGACAAGAATACGCAAGTCGCGAATAGCGAGTTCGGAGTTCTTGATCGTGGCGGGCAAAGCAGAAGTATCCTTCGATGCGTCCAGGATATCCTCGAATCGACTTTGAACATTGATGAGTTCCTCGAAGTCGGCCTGAGGTTCTGACGTGTCTAGCGTAGCGCATGCTGGGATGAGGTAGGAAGAGCCTGGTATCGCGCAAACAGGCCCCATTACAGCGTTCGATACTGTGGATCGTAGTATCCCGGATGCTAGCTGGATGCCGAAGACTAGGATACCAACGCCGAGGGCGACCCCTAAGAACGGCTTGATAAAGTGTCGCATCGCGTAGGAGAAGATGTCTAGGAAGTGGGCGAGGAGTGGTGCGGCGACGTTATCCCAGAAGAGGTTCACGTAGTGCCATGGGCTCACTTCTTCCTGGTTTTGTTGTGGCGCTTGCGGGTATCCGCTGGCAGACCCCTTCGTGAAAGAGCTGCCTGGTGCAAGGGGCGAGTCTGATGGGCGGTTCTGGGTCGTGTTTCTTACTCGGTTCCGCGGCTGGGATTTTGGACCTGGCGAGCCGCTGTAACCACTTGGCGAGTTACTCATGGAAGGCATGATGAAGCTCGGCTCGGATGCGTCGTCTTTTCGTGTCCTGTCGGACCCTATCCTTTGCGACTGGCTGGCTTTGGTCCGACTTGCTGGCTTCCTCACGGGTCGAGCCTGCGTTTGCGCCGTAGGTGTTGACTTGCTGAGGTGATTGCGCTTAGGTCTGGGTGTCACGGTCGTTCGTGGTTCTTGTACAGTTTCTTTGTCAGAGTCCTCTAGTTCCAATTCGCTGGCTTCGTCGCTGGCCGAGTGAATGGAGCCTGCGTCACCGGATGCGTAGTCAGCGTCGCCCCAGCTACTTCCCAAGCTGTGTTCGAGTCGCCGTGAACGTGCGCTCATATTCCAAGTTGATGATATCTAGGATCTGTGACGTAGGGCTGACGGTTGGGTGGGTCAGGGTAAGAATGCAATACAGAGCAGGGGGTAGTTATAGATTTAGGCAGTGGTGTGTCTAGTGATGACCCAAACTGTCTCACTGACTGCCTTTGTGTCGTTGTAGGAGGCTGGGTAGAACAGGTTGCCACTTCCTACGTGTGACGTGGGGCCTGCCAATCAGGCTTCTGGCGCATACTGTGTCTTAGTGCGTCGCAGAGACATCAAGCACTTTTGTTGTTAGTGGAGTTCCAGAGCAATGGCCCTAGCACTGTACCTGTAGTACCTGACTGCGTTCGGGGTTCAAGTGGTGTTGGCGTACAGACGCGTCGACGTCATATTCGAGCTCGCGTGCGCCAAGACGACTAGTCCAGAAAGTGCATCCTGAACAGCACGCGAAGTTGGTGCAGGAGTCAAGACTTTCCGATGCCACTACGCCAGCTTTCCCTCGCGCTACGGACTGCAAGACGGGCGCAATTAGAACCAACGAGGTGGCGCCACCAAGGACGTCTTTTCGTGCGCAGTTGCTCTTGTTCTGCGCCCCACCAGTTGCAGCACACAGTGACCGTCTCGTCTGAAGCACCCGCCAGTGCGCAATTGAACCCTACAGCCGGCACCCCGCCTACACCTCCTCTCGACCATCGAGCCCTCGCGCAAACACACAATCTCTTCATCACATCTCCGTATAGCCCCGGCTCGCCGCTCATCCTTCCCAACGGTGCCTATGTCTTCCAGAAGTTGCAGTCGTTCCTGCGAGCGCAATATCCGCAATTCGGCTTTCAAGAGGTCATCACGCCCATAATATACAAGAAGTCGCTATGGGAGAAGTCCGGGCACTGGGAGAACTATGCAGAAGACATGTTCAGTGTGCAGGGAAGAGGGACAACAGCGCAGATACCTGAAGCAGAAGGCGGAGAGGATGGGGAGTTCGGTCTGAAGCCCATGAACTGCCCGGGTCACTGTTTGCTGTTCAGGGACGAGATCAAGAGTTACAGAGATCTTCCAGTCAGACTCGCCGACTTCAGCGCTCTGCACCGGAACGAGATCTCAGGCGCCTTGACGGGACTGACCAGAGTCAGGCGGTTCCACCAGGACGACGCGCACATCTTCTGTCGGCCAGACCAAATTCTGGCAGAGATTGAGCAGACGCTGAAGTTCGTGGGCATGGTGTACAACACGTTTGGACTGGGACCCTACAAGCTGCTTCTCTCGACTCGGCCCAAGGACAGCTTCATCGGCACCATCGAGGAGTGGGATCGCGCGGAGGAGCAGCTGACTACCGCGTTGAACAACATCGGAAGCGAATGGGCAATCAACGAGGGAGACGGAGCGTTCTATGGCCCAAAGATTGACATCATCTTGAAAGACTCGAATGGCAAGGAGCATCAGACGGCAACCATACAGCTCGACTTCCAGCTGCCGCAGCGCTTCGATCTGCAATACCAAGCATCACCGGACGAATTGGAGGCAGGACCGCAGTCGTCTATGGATGCAGGACTGGATCCGGCTCTTCGCCGCCCAGTCATTGTACATCGCGCCATCTACGGTTCCATCGAGCGTTTCATGGCTCTATTGATTGAACACTACGCTGGCAAATACCCATTCTGGCTTTCGCCTCGACCGGCCATTGTCTTGTCGCTGAACTCAGACCCCAAAGTTCTTGAACACGTCTCGCGCATTCAATCTGTTCTTTCTGGTCTCACGCCTTCTGACGCACCCGCAACTTCGTTATCGTCGCCCAAGCCCTTACCGTTATCGACTATACACCTACCCATTGACGTCGATACGAGTGACCGCTCGCTTGGAAAGAAGATTGCTGAAGCCAGGACAAAGAAGTACAACCACATCATCGTCGTTGGCGGTAAGGAGGTGGAGAGCGGTAGCATGAATCTTCAGATCGTGAACCAACCAAACGAGGAGTCCACTATAGACGCGCTACAGGTTTCGTTAGGCAAGACACTCACTGAGAAAGAGCGATCGAAGGCCACCGTGAACGTCGACCTGGATGGCGCCAGGAAATACTTCGAGAAACTGGCCAACTCGTTCTTGTAATACAACGCCGATTCAGATTCAAACCTTGCCTATGTTCAATTTGTGTGACAACGTGGTTGCCCAGTGTTCAGTCTCGCTGTTTGCTCTGCCCGTTTTAACGATCCATCATTACGTGCGGCTGATAACGACATTTCGCACGTTTCTTCGAGAAAGGTTCCTGGTATGCTCAAAGAGAAGGTAGTATGGAGGATACAGGCTCTGCCACTGCTACTACACCCCGAAGGCTTGTCGAACGAATTGCGACATCTAAGTAGCAAGGTCTATCCGCAGTTGTCAAGGGTGTCTCATGTCTTCAGAGTCGAATTACCGATTGGTGTTCTCACTCTCACTCTCACTTTCACTTTCACTCTCACTTCCCGAGCACCGCCAAGACAACTAGTTCTTGCACGGGTACCTCAAAATTCTGCTCCATTGCTCACCGCGTCACCAATCCTTCAGCGACGTTTCTTGTTCACGACCCTATCTCACGCGATGGCGACCGAAGTGCCGTTCACCGCCGACGCCGTACGCAGTATAGAGCTAATTCCTTGTGCACATGCGCCCACCAAACCACCAGCGTGAGTCCGAAACAATTCCAGCCATGCGTTCTTGCTAACAGTCTCAGTCACGTCTACGACAAGATCATTACCGTCGCGGTCGGACCGGACAATGCCAAGAAGAAGTTCAAGATCTATCGCGGGCTCCTGTGTCACTTCTCCAGCTACTTCGATCGCATGCTCAACGGTTCTTTCCGGGAAGGTGGCTCAACGTACCTTCGACTAAAGGATACCGACGCCGACACCTTCGACGTGTTCTTCTATTGGCTCAATTCTGGTGTTGTAGGTTTGGCGGACAGCGGAGGCCTTCTGGACTGGGGGAAGGTAATGAAGGCCTACGTGTTCTCCGACTTTCATCAGGCGCCTATCTTCAAGAATGCTGTCTTGGAATCTCTATACACTCGTTGGCTGTCAGAGAATGTGGTCGCTGTCGATGTTACAGAATTCTTGTACACCAACACATCTGAAGGGGACAGTATGAGGAAGCTTATTGTCGATATAATGGTGGCATCGGGCAACTTCAGGGAAGGTAAAAGACATCATCTCTTCGATTGCCACAAAGAGTTCCTCATAGATATCATTGTGGGATGTCGAGCTCGAGGCCTAGTCCCGGGTGACGGATCAAGGATCGATGCAGACACTTGGTTCGTCGACATGCGAACGAGCTTTTGCGAAAGATATCATGTACATAGTGAAAGGGATGCCGTTTGAGGAGATGTCAATTCGTAAGTCTAGCTCTCGGTTGTGGCAGCTCAGAGGCAGTCGCCAATCCGAGACGCAAGTGCACTTAGGAGACGGTGTGGCAAGGTTGTCATTTTACCTTTCAAGTTATGTGGAAGACTTTCGGTCAACGATGCAGGTGGATCCGTTGAGTCTTCTAAGATTGTTGAAGTTGTGTTCACTTTTATGCTAGGGCTACGTTCTTAGTACATAAATGAAGTACATCTGAGACTATATGGTCCATTTTGACCGTACCCATGTCGCCCTTTCGTTGTTGCGCTCCATGATTCTGCTACGGGGTAATCAGATGCTCATTAAATCAAAATACAGCATATATACTAACTGTTGTGCTTCAACCCTCATCTAATGACTGACAAGTTTTATAGCTACTCATAGAGAAGAGGTGCATGTATACTGCTCAGGTTGGCTAGGTTAGCACAAACGTATCTTCACCTTCACTTTCACTTCGGCATCTCGGCTAGTGGAGTTTGCTGCCTACCAAGAGATACACAAACGGCGTTTACACCTTGTGAGAACTTTATCAACAACATCTACACCTCCTTCAAGGAAACCAACTCCAACACTATTATGATGAGCCACCCATTAGCATGGTGCGCACACCCGTGGACCGCGCCTACCATCACCAACAAGTACGACACAGTCACGATCAACGTCGGCTCCGGCAGAAATATCCAGCAGTATGATCTACATGTCGAAGCACTCAGAGCGCGCTCGCGACACTTCCATGAGGCCCTTTCAGCCTCCTCAAACGAGGAGCGCACAGCGATCCACCTCGCGTGCTCTACGCCAATGCGATTCGACGTCTTCGCCAACTGGCTTTACAAAGGCAGCTTAGACTCCAGCAATGACACCGATTTGAGATACCTCTTCTTATGCGAACTACACGTATCTGCCGACACCTTCGATATCCCGCTTCTGCGCAACAAGATTGTGGATGTGTTCTTCAACAAGCTTTTGAGCGACGCCCAGCCACTGCCCTACGAAATCATGAAGTACATCGAGGAGCATCTGAGGGACTCTGCTTTGAGGACCATGATGCAAGACATCATGCTGAACTGCGGTGAGACGGAGGACATGGCCGAGTGGAAGGTCAACCTTGCGAAGGGCTTCAGGATGGAAGGTGGTAGAAACAAAGACGTCGCTGAGACAATTGACAGGGGTTCAGATGTGAGAGAGTACTTGGTCGCGTTGAGGGGTAAGGTATGCGAGAAATATCACGAGCATGTGGAGAGAGATGAGATGGTCGTGGAACGTGAGGAGATGTGGTTCTTCGACCCACCTCTGGAATAGGCGGGGAGCACTTTCATGTAGTATAAGACGTCCGACATATAGACGATAACAAGGTCAGAATGGAAAGAGTGGGATGTCGTAGTGGAATTTGATACATTCAGTTGTCAAGTTGTCCATGCGAACAAGGTGATCTAGCTGAACTCACTGAAACTCGGTCGTTAATATTATGACTCCTGACACAGTGTAAGATAAGCTTCTGTCGAACTATGTACCGTGGTATGAAGGGCTGTACTCGCAATGCATGTGCGGAGGTTGTGCATACCTGCCCAGGTGGGCAGTTCTTTCCAGGATCCATGGATTTGCGCTAGGCTAACGCTAGTCTTCGTCCGGTAAGACCCTGATTTATCTGGCTGACGTCATGAGCTCGCACATTGGAATCCGACTACGGTCTCATCTCAAACCGACCTGCTCCAAAGATGGTCCATGAACGTTCCCATGGCGATTCCTAGCCTCTTCCGCTGACGATTGGGGTATATCCGTACAACCGCAGCCATGCAACGCCGCGCAGCGCTTGGTCGTGCCAAACAGAGTGTGGCGTACGAAATTCATTGTCGCCCAAAGCACTCCTTTCTCTTTGGCACTCGCTGATTGGGGGTGGCGTCGTATGAGTTACGCATGAAGGTGCTGGACAGCGATATAGGATGAAGGCAAGCGCAGCCAATCGCGTGTAAGTCGGTATGTAACAAGACCGAAGAAGAGTGGCGATGAGTACATGAAGTACACCGCAAATGGATCCTTCCGGTCCTTTTGTAGCTCGAGACTGCTAAGACACATGTCGCAAAATACAACTTCCTGACAGCATCGCCGCCTTCAACGGAGATTGAAGCGTACCTTATCTAGCACGCGGCTGATAGGCACAGGCTTCTCATTCACAAAGGAAACCTCGGAATCGGTACGTTCGTCTACGAGAGAAGCTCGAGATGCTGGTGGCGATATCTCCGGATCAGCCGAACGCATCGTCAGCCATTGGGTGACAAGCATACCGAGACAGACTGAACTATGCATCAGCGTTTGTTGACCACAAGGGGCGAATCGTGAACTTACTATCAGCGAGGCACATGAGCAGACAAGCGTGGCTCATCTTGGCGAAGTTCCAGGCGAGAAACAGGCTATTGTTGCACAAAGTGACAAACAACATGAAGCCTGAGCCAACAACATTTCGAACCAGCATGACTCGCAAGTTGTTCCGAGAAGATACGGCCCGTCGTGTTCCTTTCATCCAAAGTCGGAGTGTCTGCATTGAAGAGCCAGTCGATGTACCAGCAGTGTCGCTTGCGAAACTAAATATCCTAGGTGCCGATGAGCCCAGTGCTGGTCGAAGCTGCCAGACGAAGATTCCCGTGAGAACAGTGTTCATTAGGATGTCCAGCACGATGATCGCAATCGTAGCCGGCCGCTCGATGCCTATCCTGCATTCGCCTGTCTGGTGGTTCAAGATAGCCATTGGGTTGACAAACTGCCATCCCATGATCGCGAGGAAACCACCCGTGACGAAGATTCCTCCGAAGACATACAGCATATCCCGTGTGCGATCCACGAACGGAGCTCGTACGATATGAACGCGCTCCAGCAAGAAGAGATATCTGTATATAGTTTAGCATCCGGGCTTGGGGTGAGCGTCACGTACGAGTAAACACTCACAGTGCTATCTTGTCCGCGCTATACATGGCGATGCAGACTCGTATGGCAGCATGACATTGAGCATCCGTTTGCAGACCCAGTCCAGCTATCTGTATGGCTGTGGCAAATAGAAAGGCCGAGCAGATGAAGCCTTGCGCGAACACGAGTACATCCGACACCCGGGTTTTGGACTTCTGGCCAGCCATGCGGCCTGCTCGATATCCTACCAAGCAGTTAGCAAACATTCTGAGCGACCTCTGGATACGAAGCGGTCAACATAAGATTCGAATGCACTTACCTTGGGCCAACGCGAGAACAAATGCAAACAGGATGCATATGATAATCACTGCCACGCGATGTGGTGGCAGCTCGTCCAGGTTGACATGTTTGTGGCTTTCGTCCCGAGTAACAAGGAAAAGCGGAGACATTGGCTGCGCAGCCACACCAGCGATGGGGATTTGCGCAAAAGCAAATAATATCGCAAAGGTAGAAGATCGCATCAACGCTGCCAAGGTGTCCGTTGAGACATGGGGAGTGGTCTCACGACATATAGGTTCACGAAGCGAGCTCTGATCAAGTGTTCAAACTAATTTGCGTATTACGCCGTGGCAAGACTTCTCACTCAACGTCAATCAATCACAACACGGTATATCCTCGATCTATCGGATCGTAGGGCAATACGTCAAGGGCTAGTGCATCAGTGGACGAGTCACCGCTAAAGCTTACTTCAACGGTTCCGACGAGGGGAAGCTGGAGACAACTCCGTAGCGCCGAGCAGGCACCCCGTAGCGAGCCTTCCACGCGCTATGGTGCGGAGACGTTGCGCTACAGCCCTACTACTAGACACCGTTGGGCTCTAGAAGTCTTGATCGGCTGGAGAGTTTTGACCGCTGCTTCATGAGATGCAGAAGTCGCTTCAGCCACATGTTTGCGCCTCCAAAACGACCACCGTGAAGGCTCTGGTTTCCAAATACCATAGTGGCATCTGAACGAGGCTATGCGCGTAAGCTTACGGCGACCAGGTCCGGAGATTCCAAGAGGCTTGGATCTCGGGTTGGGAAAAGGACCGGATGCCGCACGCCCCGGGCTTATCATCCAGGGCTGATACAGAGAGAACCTTGGAATCTTGGAAACCTTCGGGACGCGCCCTTATCTCTGGACCCTCATAATGTCCAGCAGCCATGTCATCCCGTAGTGGTAGCCTTCGTCATCGTTGGTTTCCGCTAAGTTCCTTCACATGTTATGGCTGTCGTTCCGACTCCACCTTGGCTATGTCACGATGCAGAACAGACATCGTGTAGTGTATGTTGTCCTAGGTCGCTCCACTCGTTTTGCTTCCCAATAGTCTAACTAACAAGTGTTTGCGAGCTGCAATAGGGTTTCGGCCTTCTTTTTGGGCGTGCTCGGACGAAGAAGACCGGGATATCTGGAAGCTGTCAGAGGGGAGTGAAGGGTCTACCATGTACCCCTCAAGTATTTTCTGTAAATGAAGTCAACCGCCCAAGCCCTTTTAATGGCCCTGGGCAGAGACATGTAATCTTGCCAAGGGTACTAATAAGGAACGACAAGCCCAGTCTCCCCTATCCGCCGTACCCCTCACTGCGCGCTGGGAATTTGCCTACGCAATACCTATATTCATTTAGATGTTGTCCCACGAATGAGAAGTCTGACAAACATTTGTGGCAACCACTATGTATTCTTTGACCGTGGCCGCCACCCTGGTTACTCATTCGACAAAGACAAAAGTGTTATGATCATCTGTGACTGGAGGTCGTCTCCATGGCTGGCACGCGATGTACTGAGCAAGGTAGTATGGTCGGTAGACGAGAGTGGAACGCAGATACAGCAGAGCTAAAGCAGCAAGTGTCACGTAGCATATCATTATGTGTTAGCATGGAGTGCAGGTAAACATGCTTACAAGGGTTAGTGTTTGTTTGGTATATGTAGAGTACCTTGCTGTACATGGTCGCGTTTCGCTTGGAACGTAACTGCACAGTGCATACCCGTGGACTGCCTCTCTACCACCCTAACAGAACTTCTCCATCGTTCGTGAGCTCAGATCAGACTCGTAGCCTTCCCTACCGATAGCCATTGGCTCGATCGATGTCCGAACCCGTCAGTCGTCCTCATAAGAATCGCGTATGTTGGGCAATGCTGAGATTTCATTGTGCCAACAGGCGAATGGAAAGACGCTCGCTCACTCGGTCTACCAGCCAGAAGAAGTATTGGCATCGGCAGCTGCGGTGGTGTCGTCAGCCCAGTTGCCGCTCGACTCAACCGGAGTGTCACCCCATCCGCCAGCCGCAGCGGTCGAGCCACCGGCATCGCCCCAGTCACCGCCAGCAGTCTCAGCAGGAGGCTCGGGGCAACGCTTCTCGCCATGACCGTAGTTGTTGCAGTTGCGGCACTTCACGCGAGACCAGTCACGAGGCTTGTGGCACTCGCGAGAAGCATGACCCTCCTCGTCGCAGTTACGGCACTTCATGATACGAGGCTGGTCGCAATCGCGCGAAATGTGATCCTCGTTGCCACAGTTGTGGCAGGCGCGACCAGGGCCGCCAGCCATGGGCTTACGAGGCTCAGTGCACTCCGTCTTGCGATGTCTGAAGATTGTTAGCTTGGCACTTCAGGATGCTCTGCAAGAGTTCGACTTACCCGATCTTGCCGCAGTTGAAACAGGCTTGACCACCGGAGCCCTGAGGACAATCGCGCTTCTGGTGATCCGTCCCACCACAGCCGAAACAGGCACGGTCGCCGCCGCCACCACCTCCACCGGAGGGGCAGTCACGCTTTTGATGACCAGTCTTGCCACAGCCAAAGCAGGCCCGGTCGCCGCCACCGCCGCCGTTGTTGTTGTAGCTGGTAGTGTTTGCAGTAGAGAAACCGCCAGCAGAGCCCCAGCCGTCATTGGCAGTAGTCGTAGCGCCGCCGAAAGTGTCACCACCAGAGCCGAACTCGTTGTTGGCGTCAGCAAACTCGTTGGTGCCGCTGAACTCGTTGCCACCACCAAAGCTTGTAGCGTCGCCGCCGAAAGTACCAGCTGGATTCTTGGCCTTCTCCAACTCTTCGCGCTCTTTGGCTTCAGCTGCACGGTGCTTCTTGGAGTTCTTGTGTTGGATCCAATCCTTGGTGGGGATCTCGCGGTCGCAGAGCTCGCAAAGGGAGATACGAGCAACATGCTCCTTGGCCTTGGGGTACGGGTTGGATGGCATGTTGGAATACAGGTTAGCCGGACCACGGGCCATGATGAGGACTGTGGAGGATGCGAGAGAGGTGAACTAGACACAGTTCGTTAGCTATTTGAACTCAGGAGATGGCAGCAGTGCAGTGAAGCGCGACAGACGCCGGTCGAGCGCCTAAAGAATCCAGGCTGGAAGCAA